AGCTGGGTCTGATGAAGAACTTTGTCAAGGCCATTGACAAAACACAAGCAGCTTTCAAGTACCTCTGTGGAAAATAGCTCACTCCTCAGAGATACATTTAGCACTCACCTTTGACCACATTACTGCCCTTATTCCGCTAAGTCTTTGTTAATGGGACTACTCCCAGCATTCAGGATATCAGAATGAAAAGTCCATCACCTCAAAAAGAATGTTTTGCTAGTGAGTAATGACTTCTCCAGATTCTCCAACAACTTCCCAGGCACCTAAATGCCCAAGGAAAGAAAACAAATCTAGTCCCTGACTCCCGATACCTTGTTATTAAAATACTTTAAAATGTCAAGACCTGTATGACGCACACAATACAGGAAGATAGGGGTAGGGCGATATTGGCACTCATTTATTGACACCCATTTTAGGATGACTAACATTGAATTAATGCATCTGCAGCCCATGTCCTCAGCAGCACGGGCTACCACAAGCATATCAGACTTGTCCTCTGCTCTCTAGATTGGCTCCCATAAACTATTGAATCGAGTTCAAGGTCTCAGTCATTATCTTCCAAGTGTTCAGTGGCCTGGGCCAAAGATGTCTACAAAATTACCTGAAGCTCTGGCATGAGAACTTTGGATGACAACTCTGCTCTTTTGGTGCAGTGGAACTTTCCAACATTAGAGCAAAGCTTGTCTCTGTGGGAGACAGAGCTTTCTCAGGGGCAGACCCAAGACTGTGGAATGAACTCTCAAAAAACTGAGGACCACCACAAACCTCACCACCTTCCGCTCCAAGTGCAAGGCTTACTCTTTTGACCTGCCTTCTCTACAGAAACAGAGAGCAGAGTGTTCATTTAACAAACAAACAAGCAAAACAACCCAAAATAGAACCCTACCTAAACATAACACTGCATTGCACACATAATTACCCCTTTGGGAAGAAGATGAGAGAGAAAACAAACTGCATATGACAGATGTTAGTCACATCACTTAAAGCACTACTTCAGAGCCCTCAGATATTACAGTGAGGAGGGAAGTAAAAGAAACTCAATAGAATAGAGCTATGCAGAATCACAGGTTCATGTAGATGGAACTTTTTACCACTATAGACCCCCTTGCAGTCTCAGTTTATCACAAGGAAAATCTGACTCCCTTGGATGTTTTTGAAAATCCCACTCTCTATAGGCTATATGCAAACATTTTTCTCCTCCTTTTTGGTTTAGTTTATAATTCTGTCTTTTCTCCAGAAGGTGATCTTATGGACTGTGATGGAAAATCAGATTCCAGCCCAGAACGAGAAACTGTGGATGATGATACTAAGGTGACAGAAGGAGCTGATGGGGTCAAAAAGAGAAAAAGAAAGCCATACAGACCTGGTATGATACATAATGTAGACCATTTTGTATCCATTTGTTTGTCACATTTAAGTTTTCTACTATGTAAATATTCTATTAATTTAGAAATAGGAAGACTAAACAGCATGTTTAGGAAAGGCTTCTTTGGGTGGTTCATTCCTCATTGTGCAATGTAGTAGTTTCTTCTATTATGGTTAAAAATGATTATCCAGGTACGCTTTCCCAGGTTGCTGCACAGCAACAGTCCTGCCCTTATGCTGTAAGTATTGGTTCACAATTCAGATTTGCAGCCAGTTATGGATTATTTAACTTGAGAAAAGAAAGCACTGTGCTTTTCTAATTGGATATATATGTTGTAGGTAAACATACATATATGCTGTATTGTATAAAAATGGGTATCTATGGCTCAGGGAAATATGGGTGTGAGGCCTTTTGCTTCTTTAAAGAGAATACTTTTGTAGGTATCTACTACCTATATTCTGAAGTGTGTGATAAGTAGGGCCCTACCAAATTCTCGGTCGTGAAAAACACATTACGTACCGTGAAATCTGGTCTCCCCCATGAATCGTGGCCTTTTGTGTACTTTTACTCTATACTATACTAGAAGGTAAAAGTATACAAAAGTACACGATGTTTCTCACACTGGGGTTCCTGATCCAAAGGAGACTGCAAGACTATTGTAGGGGGGTTGCGATATTGCCACTCTTACTGCTGCACTGCATTCAGAGCTGGGCAGCTGGACAGCTCTGAAGGCAGCGCCGCCACCAGCAGCAGCACAGAGGTAAAGGTGGCATGGTAGGGTGTATTGCCATATTCTGAAAGCAGCTCAGAAGTAAGGGTGGCAATACTGCGAGCCTCCCTATAATAGCCTTGTGACCCCTCCCCCAGTTTGAGAAATGCTGCCTTAAGGGCTTTATATGTGTATATTTTGCTGTTTTTAAATACATATTCATGCTTTGTTACAACATCTTGAAATTTAAGATTTAAATATCTGAAACCATGAAATTCAAGTTTTTTTTAAATGCTAGGACCATGAAATTTACGAAAATGGACTGTGAATTTGGTAGGGCCTAGTGATAAGGGTACGCTTCATACAGTCTGAAGATGATTCAGACTCGTACGCAGTTCAGTTGTCAGTTGTTGGGTGAATCAATCACCTTGCATTTATTGATAGTCTTTGTAGTTACAAATACTGATTGGACAATTGGAGCAAAAATATTTCCCTGAAGTTTTAAATAAGGGTGGGGGACGGGATGGAAACAGCATGTTGAGAGCTCTTTTTGTTTAGAATATCACCAGGTTCAGTCATCAGTCTCTTACCATCTAATTTTTAAGTTCTCGACCTTATTGACTTCATAGGCGCCGACTCCGTGGGTGCTCTGAGGCTGGAACACCCACGGAGGAAAATTAGTGGGTGCTCTGTACCCACCGGCAGCCAAGATCCCCTCCACCCCCCCCCCCGCCCTACCACTTCCTCCTCACACACCCCCCCCCCGAGCACGCTGCATCCCTGCTTCTCCGCCTATCTTCCAGTGTTTCCCGCCTGTCCGCCGACAAATTGATGGCGTTAGCATGCTCCGGGAGGGGAGGGAGGAGCGGAACGTGGCGCGCTCAGGGGAGGAGGTGGGGAAGAGGCAGGGCTGAGGCAGAGATTTGGGAAAGGGGTTGGAATAGGGGCAGGGAGGGGGCAGAGTTGGGCTGGGGCCTTTGGGGAAGAGGGATAGCTCAGTGGTTTGAGCATTGGCCTGCTAAACCCAGGGTTGTGAGTTCAATCCTTGAGTGAGCCACTTAGGGATCTGGGGCAAAATCAGTACTTGGTCCTCTAGTGAAGGCAGGGGGCTGAACTCGATGACCTTTCAAGGTCCCTTCCAGTTCTAGGAGATAGGATATCTCCATTAATTTATTGGTTGTTTATTTTAGGCGGGGCAGGGCCGGGGTTAGAGTAGAGGTCAAGCACCCATGGTAAAGAGGGGAAGTTGGCGCCTATGATTGACTTTACAAATTGCATCCTTGCAATAACACAGACTTTTGGCTACAGTAAGGGTTCCATGCTGAGAGTCTTAGACAATTATGATATCAGAGGTAACTCAGCCAATGGCCTTCCTTATTTTACAGCTAATTTGCACACGGCAGATTTATGGTTGTCTGAGGGAAACTGCACAGATGATGGATTACTTTGTCCAACTGACACAGTTCTTCAAAACCACCTAGACAGGAGCCTCAGATATACATTACTCCTCATTGCAGCACACATCCCTCATTTTGCCACCCACACAAATCTTCTAACACAACACAAGCGTCACGCAAATCAGCACAGGCCTCCCAGCACAAAACAACCCTCACATAAATCAACACAACTCTCCCAGCATAACACACACATTCGCCAACCCTCACTTATACTTACCCGAAAAACATAGCTACACGTCATCACCAGTACCAATATCAATGTGCTTATATTGGTATAATTTATGTTTAGCCATATGGGAAAGAGAAGAATCCATACCAGTAAAAGATACATTTTATACCAATTTAACAGTGTCCACACTTATGAGTTGTACTAGTATATCAATAAAAAATTCACACCCATAACCAATGTAGCTATGCCCATACAAACAGTGTGTGTAGACCAGGCCTTAAGGAAAATATTTCTGTGTTTTGAAGAAGTCCTTGTATGTGGGCAACCAAAAGATGGCTTTTTCTTTGTTTCCATTTTTATCTGGGAATGTAATCTGCATCTGCTTGTTGTATTTTTGTTTCTTTGATAGGTATTGGAGGATTCATGGTACGCCAGAGAAGTCGTACAGGGCAGGGTAAAACTAAGAGATCGCTCTCCAGGAAAGATTCTTCCGGTTCTGTTTCTGAGCAGTTGCCTAGCAGAGAAGATGGTATGTACTAACATTTGTTTGTAAATTATTACCAATGCTTAATTTAGAAAAATGATGGAACTAGTTTTTTATCTGCTGCTGTCAGGAGATTATTGCAGTGGGAAAATGGTTACATTATTAATGTTTGTTGTCACCTCATTTTATGAATTTGGCTGCTACACAAATCCATTTGTATTTACAGCAGTGTCTAAAATTCACAAAGAGACAGAACTAGAAATGTCCTGAAACACTAATGACGTCTTTCAGGTCACTAAGACCCAGCTAAGAGAAACCATGTGCCCTAGTAGAGTGGGCACTGTGCTGGGACTCAGGAGATCTAGGTTCCATTCCCAGCTCAGCTACTGACCTACTACTACAGCTTGGACCCCCTACCTTGAAATGGTTCCATTTGTTGTATAACATTTGTATTACACGTAAGGGTACGTTTACATTTAAAATGCTGCGGTGGTGCAGCTGCGCTGCTGTAGTGCTTCCATGTAGATGCTACCTACCACCAAAAGGAGGGCTTCTCCCATTGGCATTGGTAATCCACCTCTTCCATCAACCTAGCACTGGTCTGCCCCAGGGGTTAGGTCGGAATAGCTACGTCACTCGGGGGTGTGGCTTTTTCACACCCCTAAGCAATGTAGCTATACCATGAGTGTCTGCTTTGTAAATATTTTTAGTTTGGAATAGGATGTCTGCTCAGCCTGCTGTGAAAAACTTCCTTTGCCTGTTCCTTACATACTGTAGCACAGGGGTAGGCAACCTATGGCACACGTGCCGAAGGTGGCACGCAAGCTGATTTTCAGTGGCACTCACACTGCCCGGGTCCTGGCCACTGGTCTGGGGGGTTCAGCATTTTAATTTAATTTTAAATTTAGTTTCTTAAATATTTTAAAAAACTTATTTACTTTACATACAATAGTTTAGTTATATATTATAAACGTATAGAAAGAGATCTTATAAAAAACGTTAAAATGTATTACTGGCACGCGAAACCTTAAATTAGAGTGAATAAATGAAGATTCGGCACACCACTTCTGAAAGGTTGCCAACCCCCGCTGTAGCATATGGGCTCCTCTTTTATAACCTTCAGACATTGCTTTAACACCTGACGAGGTGCTAACTGCATTTAGGTGGCACTTCTGTAGTTTGATAGGTCATTTTTTCACACCTTATCAGCAGTGCCTGACAAAGGGCACTCAACAACTTGGCTAATAAAAAAAACTGATTATACCATGAGAATAAATGAGACCCTAAAACAATAAGTGTGTGTGGAAGGGGGTTAATTATCCTAATTTTATTCATTTAACGGTTGCATTGGTCATTGATATGTTTATAAGAAAGTATAGTATTTGCATCTGTTTGCATATCATAAACACTTTTCCAGACCCTTTCTCTGGTTGGGATACCTTCTTTTCTGAGGGTGGATTTTTTGTATAAATACATAGACTGTAGAACTTGAGTAACTCTTCACTAATGTGAGAAAGGGCTGTATAATCTAGCCCAGTAATTCTCATCCAGGGGTATGCAGAAGTCTTCCAGGGGGTACATCAGTTCATCTAGATATTTGCTTGGTTTTACAACTAGTGAAGTCAGTACAAACTAAAATTTAACAGAGACACTGACTTGTTTATACTGCTCTATATACTAAACATTGAAATGTATGTACAATATTTATATTCCAGTTAATTTATTTTATAATTATATGGTAAAAAAGAGGATGTAAGCAATTTTTCAATAATAGTGTGCTGTGACACTTTTTTGTATTTTTATGTCTGATTTTGTAAAGCAAGTAGTTTTAAAGTGAGGTGAAACTTGACAGATCAGACTCCTGGAAGGCATACAGTAGTCTGGAAAGGTTACGAACCACTGACCCTTAAGTATTAAACGATATATAATATAGCGCTTGAACTGAAGTCAGTGTGACTATTGTGGAGCACAGGTGCTAAACGTCTACAAACTGAGTATTAGAACCTGATCCTCATGGCTTGTCTACCCTGGCACTTTACAGCGCTGCAACTTCCTTGCTCAGGGCTATGAAAAAACAGACCCCGAGCGCAGCAAGTTTCAGCGCTGTAAAGTGCCAGGGTAGACCGTGCCCCAGCGCTGGGAGCTATTCCCCTCGTGGAGGTGGGTTTTTTAGAGTGCTGGGAGAGCTCTCTCCCAGTGCTCTGCCGTGACTACACAAGCCACGTTAAAACGTTGCCAGCGTAGACTAGCCCTAAGGCTGTGGCCTTAGTAGAAGCACTACAGTGGCACAACTGCAGCTGCACCGCTGTACCACTTCAGTGTAGCCATTCACTACAGCAATGGGAGGGGTTCTCCCGGCGCTGTAGTTAATCCACTTCCCCAAGATGTGGTACCTAGGCTGTCTGCACCAGAGACTAGGTCGGCATTCCTACATTACACAGAGGGGTGGATTTTTCACACCCCTGAGCAATGTAGCTGGGTTGACCTAACTTTTTAGTATAGACATGGCCTAAGTGATGAACTTGCCAAAAATAAAAGTGAGGATATGCCAAGAACGGGAGTGGAAAAGAAGGGTGGACTTCAGCAAGGCTTTAGTCCCATGTGACATTCTGATAAGTAAATTGGAGAAATGTGGGCTGTGTCTGGTGGTGTTTAACATCTCTATTAATGACCTGGATGTAGGAATAGAGAGCATACTGATCAAATTTGCAGATGACAGAAAGCTGGGGGGGGAGGGGTTGCCAACACTTTGGAGGATAAAGTTAAAACTCAGAAGGGTCTTGAAAAATTGGAGAACTGGGCTATAGACAACAAAATGAAATTCAATAAAGACAAATGTAAAGTGCTACAGGTAGGAAAGAAAAAACAAATGCACAAATACAGAATGCGGGAAAACTGACTTGGCAGCCGAGAAAGATTTGGGAATGGTGATAGATCACAACCTCAAAGTGAGAACAATATAATGCTGTTGCAAAAAAAGCAACTGCAATTTTTGGTTGACTGCCTAGGGAGGTTGTGGAAACTCCTTCACCAGATGTTTTCAAAGGGAGGCTGGATAGCCATCTGTTTAGATGCAGCAAATCCTGCATCTTGGCAGGGTGTTAGACTAGATGACCCTTGCAGTCTCTCCTAACCCTATGATTCTAAGTTATGCATATCTGATAATGACAGGGGTGGGGGGTCTATGTGTGTGATGCACATTTACTTGTTAGGAAAAATCAGTTTTGGAATACTGAGACAGATCCTCAGCCAGTTTAAATCGGCATAGCTGAATTAAGGTCAATAGTGTCATGCAGGTTTATACCAGCTGAGAGTCTGGCCCTTAGGGCAGGTCTACACTACAAACTTGCATCAGCACAGCTGCAGCGCTTCTGGTGAAGAAGCTCTAAGCTGACGGGAGAGAGCTCTCCATGAGAGGCAGTAGCTATATCAGTAGGCGAGCTTCTCCAGATGACGTAGTGCTGTCTACACAGGGGGCCTACGGTCAGTATAACTACGTCGCTCAGGGGTGTGGATTTTTCACTCTTGAACAACATAGTTATACCTAAATAAGCAAGTAGTGCAGACCTGGCCTTAGTCTCCAATGCTGATCTCCTGGCTTGTCATTTGGTGCACTCTCCTGTTTCATCCCCTCTTGTGTGCTGGCAGCAAAAACACACTCTCAAGCAATTTTGAGATCAGGGTATTGGTAAATTTCAGTCTGCTCAGAGTAAGCAGTACAGCAGAACAGCACAGGGCATGGAGAGTTAAACAAGAGCAGGAAAGGAGAGAGAGAGAATACAAAGAGGTAGAGACCATACAAAAACACAGAGAGACAATTCAATGTAAGAGGAATATAAGACAGAGGAGGATAAAAATCCATAGCAGTGGAAGAGAGAAGCAGAATAATTCAGGCAGTACAGAATTGGGGAACAATACAGGATTTAGACAACTAAACTGCAGAGAAATAGCATAAAAACAGTGGTGATGTTGGTGAGACCATATGAATGGGAGAGAAGGTCCCGAGGGATTGGCAGAATAACTTCTGGTAACTTCCTTGGCTGGTAAGCTCACTCGTAGGATAGACTCTTCTTACTGCCTTCCGAGAGACTCTCTCTCATGTCATTATCTTAAGAGTTCAAAATTTGTCATAAAATCCATAAACCATGACTGTACAACACTAAGACATAACTACAGGATTTGGCTGTAGCGGTTTTGTTAGCAGTGCATCTACAGTACAGTATAACACATTTTCTTATCTAACAATGTAGTTGGTTTAGTGATTTTTCCTAAGTAACTTCCTGCAATTAGGCTGGGCACCTCACAAGTGCAAAACATTCTTTTTTAAAGTATTTCAATTAGTTGCAGTGACTCCACTTCTTTGTCTAAATAAACAATTCAATGGGAGATTTGTTATTCTGCAATGTTTTGCAGAAAAATCTTTGTGTTTGTTACAAAAATAATTATTGCCTCTTTGGAATACAATAGCTGAATTATTCAGAAAATATTTTGATTGCTTCAAGGTCCTCTGTGTGTTTTTAGTAGAGACTTCAGCACAGAGCTATGAAGGTATTCAAAAAATAAATTAAGTAGCATAGATTACAGGAAAAAGCCTGCCCTAGAGATAGATAAGAGGCAAGAGAAGAAGCGCTTCAAAATAATAGGCAGGTAAATTATCTGGACCTGATTCCACAAATTTCACCACAGAATTCTGGAACAGTTAGCAGAGAAAGGAAGCATCAGTACACTTTATTTCCAACAAATTATGGAAGCACACTAATGGGAGTTAAACACACATCCAGGAGAGGATAAACCCCTTTGCGGAATGGAGTTACAACTACTTCTATTTGTATGTAGGAGGCTGGTCTAAGGAGATGTCTACAAAGCAAAGAAAAGCCCGTGCCAGCCAACTCGGGCTTGCGAGGCTCGGGTCATGGGGTTTTTCATTGCCGTGTAGACTTCCAGGGTCAGGCTGGAGCCCGGGCTCTGGCACTCTCCCGCCCCACAGGGTCCTACCCGGAAGTCTACGCAGCAATGAAACAGCCCAAGCCCCGTGAGCCCCAGTCATCTGACACAGGCCAGGCCTGTTTTTTTCTTTGCTGTGTAGACATACCCGAAGAGGTTTTAGGAAGTCTCTTCTTTTTCTAAGATCTATGAATGGTTATGGTCAGAAAGGTGACTGTGTAAAAATGGCACCTCCTTTTGCAGTGGACCTGTTCCCTGCATGCATTACAGGTCAGCACTGCTTGATTTCTTACTGTGTTACCATTGCCAAATTAGCACAACTAAGAGAACTGAGCTGGACACTTTTCTGGCTTATGCGTCATTTGGTAGGTCTACACTTATGGCAGTATATAGAGTTCAGACTCTGCATGCCCAGCCAGCCTGCATATAAGTAGCAGTGTAGATGGTGAGGCACTGCTTACGTGAGTAGACTAGAGTGCCCTACATGCCTGAACCCCAGAGTATGTAGCCTGTATGGCTGTCTACATGCCCAAGAAATGACTCTCCCCATCTATACTGCTATTTTTAGCAGTATAGAGTCCTGCTGCCTCCCAGCTGCTGGAGCCTTTCTGCCCCACAGTGGAAAAACTCTGGCAAGTAGGAAAGGCTCTGGCAGGGAGAAGCAGTGAGAAAAGGATCCCTGGAGCCAAAGCCCACAGCCTCCACCCTGCCAGAGCCTTTCACTGCCACATGTAGCTACACACCACAGTGAGTGTGGATGCAGCATATAACTACATGCACCCTACTCTCCACCACAAGTGTAGGCAAGGTCATTAACAGAATTGTCGCTTCTCAGCTTTATTTAATTACGTTTAGTTTTGAATCAGCAAATTCAGTATGGAAATTGAGAGATGACAAACATGTAATCAACCCCAGAATACCATTTTTACAGAGACCCTTTTCAGAGTAGAACTGTACTTCAGAGAGTTAGGCTGCATAGTACATATTGTCCCTCTTAAATAATAAACATCAGATGTGTATAGTGGGCCAGAGAGATAAAGAGAATTTTAATGTGTTTGTACATGAATGTTGTTTTAAGGTTGGACTGAACAGCTGCCAGATACACCAGTTGATGAGTCTACTCCTGTTTCTGAAAATACTGAGAAAATAAAAAAGCGTTACAGGAAAAAGAAAAATAAACTTGAAGAAACCTTCCCTGCATACTTGCAGGTACAGTCCTTGCTATCCATTATGTGCTATTTAAAACTAATGTTTGCATGTGTTGAATAAACTGCTAATATATTTAAAGTATAAATGTTTGCTTTCTGATATCTAATTTATCACTCGGTTGATGTGGCTTTTGCATAAGGAATTTATAATAAAAACTATTCTTTGTAGCTTCTGTAGTGAGGTTATTGCACACACTGGGGACTCCCTTCATTCCCCCTCCCACAAGCTCCCTGTGTACCACCCTCCCATCTCTCTCTATTTTAAAGACTCTGTGCAACTTCCCCCACCCCTCCCTCATGGCTGGACATCTCTGTGTCCCCCATTGCCCACTCTGCCACATGTGAGGGTCCCCTCTTCCACACACCTCATGCCAACAGCTCTATGTGCCCTCCCCCTTCCCGCCTTTCCCTCCTTATAGGTGTTCTGTGTGTTGCATCCATCCCCCTCTGCTCCATGCCAGGGTCTCCCAATCTTCCCCTCCCCATGCCATGAGCTGTGTTCAAGTCCCCATTGGCCCCATACCCTTCCTTCCTCTTCCCCCGCAACCCCCCATTATTCTTTCTGTCTGGGTGTTAAGAAAGAAGTAATATCTTTTTAATGGACCAACTTCTGTTGTGGGGAGAGAGAGAGAGAGAGAGGAGCTTTCAAAGCTTACATAGAGCTCTTCTTCAGGTCTGGGAAATGTACTTGGAGTGTCATAGCTAAATGCAAGGTGGAATGGGTTGTTTAGCATAAGTAGTTAACCCATATTTCAAGGGACCATTCAAAGTGAAGTGGCCCGTTATTACCTCTCCAGTCATAGGGGGGAAGAGATGGGCGAAAGGGGGTTAGTGGGTTATAGATTGTTGTAATAAACCATAAATCCAGTGTCTCTATTAATGATTTTGAGGGTCTAGAAAAGTTATGAATTTACGTTCTGAGGCTTGTCTGTTGAAGGTGTTATGCAGGTTTCTTTGAGGATGAGGTCTGAGAGGTCAGATGTAGAGTGATGGCTTTGTGGAAAGTGTTTACCCACAGGGAATATGGTGTTTTTGTCTTTTATCATTTTTCTGTGTGAGTTCATTCAAGAGCATAGTCTGGGAGATAAGTCATTCAGGGTGTGAACATGTTACACCCTATTGGAATGGTAGACAGAGATGAGATGGGTATTGTGCTGGAAGGTGTTAATGGGTTCCATCAACTAGTTGATTGATCTATAGACAATTGCAGAGATGCTTGGAAGCTCTAACTGTCCCAAACAGTTTTTCCCCTGATTTTCCCATCAAAAGGAATTGATGCCTAGAATGTGCCCTGTGAAACTTTGGAATTGGCAGGATGCAGTATTTAATTTCAAAGTTGTTGAGTTACATGCAGACAGACCGAAAAATGCTGTCACATTGAATACAAGGCTTTCACAAGCTTGGGCAACTATCTCTCCGTCAGGGCCGGCTCCAGGGTTTTTGCCTCCCCAAGAAGCAAAAAAAACCAAAAAAAGCCGCGATCGCTTCATTCTTTGGCGGCAGGTCCTTCGCTCCGAGAGGGAGTGAGGGATCCGCTGCCGAATTGCCGCCGAAGAGCCGGACATGCGGCCCCTCTCCGTTGGCCACCCCAAGCACCTGCTTGCTGAGCTGGTGCCTGGAGCCGGCCCTGCTCTCCGTCTTCCAGTCGCTTGCTTGCTATTGAGCAATGAGACACACATTACATTCTGACAGGTTTCAGAGTAGTAGCCGTGTTAGTCTGTATCCGCAGAAAGAACAGGAGTACTTGTGGCACCTTAGAGACTAACAAATTTATTAGAGCATAAGCTTTTGTGGACTACAGCCCACTTCTTCGGATGCAAATAGAGTGGAATAAATATTGAGGAGATATATATATAC